ATTTTTTTGGACTTTTGGCTGGGAATAACCCGCCCCCCTACCTCCCCCTTCCTCGCCATGAGAGTCAAGAAGTTGGATTTTCAGTTTATATATGTATATATATATATCCACACTCTGAGTGTATATATATATATATATATATATATATTTGTATACTGATTATACATATTTAACAACCAAATCCGAACCCGACTCGTCCTAGTTAGGTGAGATAAGAAAAACCCACCCTGCTCCAGCCCACCCCAATACAGTTGAGATCCTGCTTAAAACAGCAACGAACTCAATGGATCAGCTGGGATTTGAAACATCATGGTTTCTTTTGCCATCTCTAACAGTTGCACGGGAAGAGAAGCCCGAAGGGAACAGGTTTACTAGTTTGTTATACAGTTCTGGGACCCACAGGAAGAACAGGGAGATCATGGCTGCAGCAAATGATTCCACCTAATTTGGGATTCAGGATATATGCATAATTCCAATGTAACACTAGAATTACCCTTTATAGTTTAGTCTCTCAATTCCTACAATCTAGACTAGTTTCTATTTCCTGTTTTCATCCCATAAATTAGGACATAAAGTGCAGCTTCTTGATCCCAGAAATTAGGAAACAGAGAATGGTGGCTCTCCCAATAGCATCCGACTATTAAGAAAACAACACAGTATTCTCTAGAGATTGTAACTTATCCTCTAAAGAGAGCTAAATGCAAAGGCTGAATTTCAATCAAGCAAGTCCAGGACACCAATCAACTTAGTATTGAAGTGGAAAGTCATGAGGGCTTTTCAGAAATTCTGAGAGCACTTTGAGGTCTTCTTCAAGGCACATAATGAGTATCTCATGCAGATTGAGGAAAGGAAAATGGAATTCACAATTCAAATTAGGGCTCTATCTTGAGAACTCTTTGCAACCAAGTCGAGGAAGCGCCACAGGGCCAAAGCCAACAGTGTCATTCACTAGGATAAGCCCCCTCTAGAGCTGGCGAGCAATCTGAGGAGGAGGGATAATACTTCGATATGCTAAACGCTTTCCATGCATTAACAACAATTCAGAACCCTTACTGGCTAAACCATTATAACACTTCTTTTTCGGTATCAACGAACAACAAACAAAGAGAAAGTTGGGATAACTTCTTTACATTTAGACGGGGAAGCAAAAGTATAGTTCCTGAAGTTGGAACCAAAAAAACCAATTTCATGGAAAAATTCAAGACCCATTGCAATTTGCACTTTGGTCCCCTAATTTCTCAACACTTGTACGAATATCGAAGTGACTGCGGACAGAGGGCGACAGGCATCTTCCATCCTCCCCCCGCCGGACACCAGAGCCCAATTTCCAAAAAATATATATAACAGAGCCAAAATGGAGGATCAGTACCAGACAGGTTTGTGTCTCATTTACGACGAGCTATATGTGCCCAAGCACACTTGCAAGCAGTATTATTGTCACCAAAAGTGGACCGGCAGGTCCAACCAACAACCGAACTACTTCAACCTTAGGTATTTGTTAAGACAACAAGTGCTCACATCTCTCCAACGATATTGATTCAACGAATTAATGGATTTTGATTCTACCCTACATATGTGGAAGCTGGTCAGTAACATATCTCCACTGCAGGCAGTTTTTCAAGGTTATTTCCAGCAAAAACCAACAAACACAACTAACATGAATGGCTAACCTCTTCCCCTAGACAA